GAGAAAGGCTGGCCCAGCAGTAAAGATTTGTGATCCTGTGACCTCACCTCATCAAGGACCACAATCATCACTGCACTTGGAAATATTTTTTAACAATTTATCCTAGTTCTCAAACACCAGAAACGATTACAAATGTCCAGTTAGTACTATCTCCAGAAAAATGGTTGGAGTGATTTAGAGAGGCTACTTCATTTCCATGAGTCCTGGAGGCAGATGGCCTCACATGGAGACAGCAGGAAATGTTGAGGTCTTAGCCATGAGGGAGTCAGAGTCAAATATGTGTCTCATTGGATTTTCTGCTTCCCTGAGATTTCCTTCCATTTAAAAAAACATCTTCCACACGAGTAGAGTTTATATAAAAAAAAAATAAATAAAAAAACATCTAATTCTTTTCTAACGCTGAGATTCCTGAGCTTTCATATCCCTTCTGTATTATGGGGAGAGATAGGAGATGACACAAGGAGACTGAGTATGACTGATTAATGTGATAAGAGTACAAAGAAGAAAATGATGCCAAGAATTGATATTGAAAAATATGCCGGGTGCAGTGGCTCACACCTGTAGTTCCAGTACGTGATTTTAAAAGTAAATAAATGGGGAGGAGGCAAATTTCCATTCAAAAGAAATCCAAATAAGTTATGTAAATTGTTCTCTCTCAGTGAGGGAGAAAATCATTCCCAAGTCCTCAAGTGTAGGCTGTGGACAGTTACTCCCTGTTAAAGAATACAGTATCTAGCAGGGTGCAGATTATATTTACAGCATAGAAACCTGACAAGCCCAATCTTAGCCAGGTGATCATGGTCAACACAAGCAGCAGTAAGTCCTGTTGATAGTGTGCACCCTTCACATGATACCGTGAACATAGTACTTTTCTTGAAGGTCTTTTTCTAGATAACACCAGTCTAATCATGAGATAAACACCAGACAAGTTCCAGAAGAGTTGCTTTTGCCAGTGCCACCACTGACAGTGCCATTGTACCTAAGCCATAGTTCTCAAAACCTTTAAGTTTTTCCAAAGCAAGGAAAGTCTGAAAAATTGTCAAACCCCATGAGAAAATAAGTACAGATGAGCACTGCTTGTAAGGTGGTACCATAAAGGAGATGTAAGAAGAGATGAAGGATGTTAGGTAAAATCTAAGGAAATCTGCATAAAGTATGAATCTGTTAACAAGTATATCTCAGTAGTGATCCTGTACTGTGTAGAGGCTAATAGAAACTCTCTGTATTATCTTTGCAATTTTTGTCTAGAAATCTAAAACTGTTCCAACAATAAGTTTCATTAAAATTTGAAAGACACTGAAGAAATTGTATGATTCAATGAATACTGATTTGGAAACCCTTAAACAATGGGAATTTTCTAAGAAAATGCACTCTCCCAGTATTGACATTGTTAAAGGCAGAACACCTATATAGCAGAATATCCAGAGAAAAGATGTATAAGATTTGTATAAAATTTCTCACACACAAAAGCATCATGATGAGATCATTTAACAGAAAATCCTGGTATGTTGTAAATACATTAAAATCAATGGTATTTGAAATATTCACTGATCTTGAAAACTAGGAAAACTTCAATCTAACTATTAGTGTTTGAACAGAACATTGGGACTATAAGTAAGACATGAAAGGCTTGTGTTATAAGCCAAAGGTACAAGAACATAAAATCTAATAATGCAATATAAGACACATTAGGTCACATATGTTACAGTTCCATTCATACGCAATACCCACAACAGACAAATGTGTAGATACAGATAGCAGATTAGTAGTCACCTGAGGGAGAAGGGAGGAAGGAATGGGGAGTGACTGCTTGTTAGGTACAGGGTTTCCTCTGAGGTGATGAAAATATTGTGGAATTAGATAGTTGTGATGGTTACACAACATTGTGAATATGTAAATGTCACCAGGTATGAATTTTATGATATGTGTATTGATTCACAATATAAACATAGAAAAATAATATAAAATGATAAATATAAATAATAAAGAATAAATAATGAAAAAAATAAAATAAAAAATCAAATATAATGAATAAATACAATAGAAATAATATATAAAAATAATATATAATAAATGAAAATAGGTAGGTAAGACAGTCACCAATTTTCCTTTAGATCACTTGTAAAATTGATATTATTAGATTATGTATATTCTATCAGATTTTATTTCATTGCAGGTTTCATACAGTTTACATGGCTCAATTACAGGACATGGAATGACACACAACATAAAACACTGACACAGACACACATGGACATGACAATGATTCGAGTGACCAATGCACCGGTCACTTTATTTTTATACCCTACAGATCCAAGTTTAGTTCCTTGTACGTGAGCATTTATGTATAGCAGCGACATCAGTCAATTCCGGAGTTGTTTCAAAAAGGAACAATTTCCCATGATCTCAGACCTCAAAATGGTTACTAAAGTTAAGGTGCCGGACAGAGCTCAAATGCCAAGGTCGAGATAGGCAACATAAAACAATGCAGCCATTTCAAGTGCTTCTTGGTCTCAATCCCAAGTGGCGGATCCTCCCTGGCCCCCACGGTTGTGCTGTCTTAGGTAGCCCCCCTCCATGGGGAGTCTTACCCATCATTGACTACCAATCATCAATTGGGGGCCAGTTCTTAGGAGAGTTCTTGTTCTTGTTCTCATGGCCTCCAGACTCCAACCACAGGGGCCGTCCGTGTGGGAGTTGGGAGCATTTGCTTATGTGGAACAACTCAGGCCTCTTATCAAGTCACAAGGCAGCAACTGCGTCTGAAGAAAATGCCGACTACCGCTGTGTCAGGCAGCACACGCACATTACAGGCTGTAGTGAATGATTAGCATAAGGCATAACTCCAGAATCAGCCCCCAACATGCAGTAGCATAAACAAATGAGAATCACTGGGAAAACCTTGAAAAGGAAACACTATGAAGGATGCTGGCCTACTGTTTTTAAATCCTCCTCAACTAAAGGGCATGGAGCTGATGCATGAGTAGAATGACTGGTGATGGACCACAACGTTCTGCCATAGGCCAAAGTGCAACATTAATTATTCTTTAGGAGAAAATAAATTCAAATGTCTTCTGAAGTCTGTCTAATTTGTAGGCTTTGTTACCCACACCTGACAGAACGTTCAGAAAGGGGAAACAAAGAGAAAGCCTAAAATTGATTACAATCTTCACAGTAAACATTTTCTAGTAATTTCCTGAATTCATATAAGGTGAATTTGAAATTGGAGTATATTTAGGAATTATTGAAGAAGCATATTATATCAACAATGTTTATTCAAAAGGTATTTGAGGTTATTTCATCTCCTGTGAAGTAGACAAGAAGTTGAAGGAAGAACTACATAATTAATATCTACTTTTACAAACGTATTGTGCTTTTTAAAGCAATTGTTGGTGACTTAACTTATCACTGGCCTTTGTCCTCCATGCCATGCAAGCCAGCTGTTGTCTCTGTGAACGTCTCTGGAACTGAGTCCTGGGTTGACTGCCTCTGGATTGAATGGGGAAGAAAAAGGGAAAAGATTTCTATTTTGTTCTGTGGAACATCAGCACAAAATTCAACATTCAGGCCAGGCACAGTGGCTCACGCCTGTAATCCTAGCACAATGGGATGCCAAGGTGGGAGGATTGCACAAGGTCAGGTGAAGTGAGCTGAAGCAAGTCGTCCCTAGGTCAGATTGGTTGAGACCCAAAGTCAGCAGAACAGGAGCCCATTGCCTGTTCCTACAATTAACAGGACGAGGCTTGTTGACCGGCTGAAGGAACTATTTCTCCAGGGAAACAGCCAAGCACCTGTGGTCTCACACTCGAGCCGAGATTGTTTGTTTTCTGAAGGCAGTGTCAGATATCAAAGGCCATGTCTTATAGAAGGCTGTGCTTTTTTGCTTTGACTGGAAAAACAGGTGTTGTTGGCCGTGGGAAGTCACGTACCAAAAGTAGCTGGGAAAGTAGCTGGCATGAGAAAATAGCTGCCGGACCCTTCCCCATTTAAACTGTATATAAATAAAATGACTGGTGCATTTCTGTGCTGCAGTCTGAAACTGTGTCTTGTCTCTGTGTCCTTTATTCTTCTGGGACTGCAGCCAATTCTGTCTGTCTGCATCTTATGTGTATGTTCTGTGTGTCATCCCCTGTCCTGTAATCGGGCCACAACAAGTGGTGCAGCGGATAGGGTCTAGAATCCTGAGCCACTTTCACTTTTCCTCAACCATCAGTTTTCCCCATTACTCAGCAAGAGTTTGGTCCCGGCCAGGACCCTAATTATCCCCAGGGTGGAGTGAATGTCACTTATCAATCTTTGCAATACAAATTTTTAAAAGAGTTGGAACACTCCGTTCAGGCATACAGTCCGCAGTCTCCTTTTTTTACTGGGTTGATTGATGCTTTTTCCAGTGAAAATCTCTTACTCCTATTATCCTGGGAGCATTTGGGTACAACGCCACCTTATTAGCTAGAGCTATTCAAAAGGGAAATAATCATTTCACCTGTTTGTGGAAAAGTTGGACATGTGAGAAAAGAGTGTAGGTGGGGCAAGCAAGATAATGCTGGCCCTGTGCCCAGGGTGTCAAGGAAACAGCCGTGAAGGTTGTGTGAGCGTTGTGGGAAGGGGCCGCACCGGGCTAATGAGTGTAGACCAACGTTTGACAAGAATGGCAGTCCTTTGCCACCTCTTAATGGTGGGAATTCGGAAAACTTCCCAGAGAGCCCTCAGTCTCAGGGCCCTTACATCAATATGAGGCCTCAGTTTCCGCAATACCCAGTGACCAATGGAACAGTGCATCAACTGAGCAATCCCTGAAAGTTACTCAGCTCTATGCTGCCACCTTGGGGAGTGCAGCGGCAGATCTTGCTGTCACTAGAATTTATACGCTAACCCATGCAGATGGAGTTCACAGATTATCTACTCAAGTGTATGGGCCTCTTCCTGAAGGGAAGGTTGGATTAGTAATTGCAGAATTAGCTGTGCACTTAAAGGCATATTTATACATCTGGGAGTTATTGATCCTGATTATACTGGAGAGATTCAAATCATGGTTTCTGGCTCTCATATAACTCAAATATTTGCAGGGACTCATATAGCTCAATTTTGCTTTTGCTTTTTGCTCCTTTTCCTGCAAGGAATGCCAACCACAAAGGAGGTTTTGGCAGCACAGGAACAAAGGTGTTTTCGGAAACTGTTATTCAGGACTCCCAGCCTGTACTTAACCTTACTGTTGCTGGCCGTTTTTTTGAGGGCCCGGTGGATACTGGAACAGATGTTTCTATTAACTGTCTTGCTCAATGGCCTCCCGACTGGCCAAAGGTCACTGTTCTGAGTTACGACAAGCTCAATATGTCTATTGTAGCAATGATACTTTTGACTGTGGGGGACCAGAAGTCCAAACAGCTTCTTTACAGTTTCATATTACTAACATTGCTGTGAACCTATGGGGGCGAGATTTGCTACATCAATTTGGAGCTTTTATGACTATTCCTCATCTTTCCCCTAATGTTAAGAATATGATGTTAAAGATGGAATTGAATCCTAAGCAGCCTTCAGAAAAATCCCCTTCTTTAAACTAATTGCCACTGGTCACGAGATCCCTCGAGCTCTTCCACTCCAATGGAACACAGATAAACCTGTGTGGGTTGAGCAGTGGCCTCTGACAAAAGAAAAGCTTGAAGCATGAAAAATACTGGTGGCTGAACAGCTTAATGCTGGACATATTGAACCTTCTACTTCTCCTTGGAATTCTCCTGTTTTTGTTATTAAAAAGAAATCTGGAAAATGGCGATTTCTCACAGATGTTTGAGAGATTAATAAATGTATCCAACCCATGAGTCATTTGCTGGCTGGCCTGCCCCTGCCTTCTATGATTCCAGCTGGATGGTCTTTGATGGTTATAGATCTTAAAGATTGCTTCTTTACTATCCCTCTGCAGCATTCAGATTGTGAACATTTTCCTTTTACTATACCTGAATATAATAATGGCTGCTCCACTGAAAGATATCAGTGGTGGGTGCTTCCTCAAGGCATGCTAAATAGCCCTACTTTGTGTCAAGAGTGTTTTTTTTTTTTTTTTTGAGACAGAGTCTCACTTTGTTGCCCAGGCTAGAGTGAGTGCCGTGGCGTCAGCCTGGCTCACAGCAACCTCAATCTCCGGGGCTCAGCGATCCTACTGCCTCAGCCTCCCGAGGAGCTGGGACTACAGGCATGCACCACCATGCCCGGCTAATTTTTTTTTGTATATATATTTTTAGTTGGTCAATTAATTTATTTCTATTTTTGGTAGAGACAGGGTCTCGCTCAGGCTGGTTTTGAACTCCTGACCTTGAGCAATCCGCCCGCCTCAGCCTCCCAAAGTGCTAGGATTACAGGCGTGAGCCACCACACCCGGCAAGAGTGTTTTGATCATGCCATAAATCCTGTTCGTATTTGGCACCCTGCTGTTGTGTTATACCATTATATGGATGACATTCTCCTTGCTGCTCCATCACAAGCTTTGCCTGATGCAGCCTTTGCTGAAATTCAGGAGCACCTTAAGCTTTTTAAATTGGTTATTGCCCCTGAAAAGGTTCAAACTACCCTACCTTTAGATTACTTGGGGTATTGTCTTTCAGAAACACAGGTTCGACCCCAAAAATTACAAATTCAGAGAGATAACCTTAGGACTCTTAATGATTTTCAGAAATTACTTGGATATATTAATTGGCTTTGGCCATCACTTGGTATACCTACTTCTGCATTGCAACATCTGTTTGCTACCTCAAGGGTGATTCTGCCCTCAACAGCCCCCGATCTCTCACTCCACAAGCAGAACAAGTATTACAATTTGTAGAGCAGCATCTCAGTTCTGGTTTCCTTGCCTTTTCTGAATCCTTATTCACTGTTATATTGTTTCTTTTTCATACTTTTCATTCTCCTTCTGGATGTCTAGGACAGACCCATGGAATTCTTGAATGGATATTTTTATCAAATCAACAGAATAAAAAGCACCTAACATATGTGGATAAACTTGCCCAGCTAATCATCAGAGGTCACCAGCAATGCTGTCAACTCTCTGGACAAGATCATTGTAAAATTGTTACCAGTTTAAGTTCTAAAGATATTCAAACTAACTCTGAATTTTCTACTGCTTGGCAGGTGGCTTATGCAGATTACATTGGCAGCTTCGATAACCATTATCCCCCACATAAGCTATATTCTTTTTTGCAGGTACACACAGTCCTCCCACTGTCTCCCATCACTTCCAGTCCTTTCCAAGGGTTCACTTTTTTTTTTTTTACAGATGCTTCTAGCTCTCAAAAAGCAGGTTATTGGAGTTCTACAGCACAGAAAATTGTTACTTCTCTTTTCACATCTGTACAACAGAGTGAACTGTATGCAATATGTTGGGGACTGACATTACACTTTTTTGGTTTAAGAATTAAATTAAGGCTGGGGGTGGTGGCTCACACCTGTAATCCTAGCACTCTGGGCGGCCGAGGCGGGTGGATGGCTCGAGGTCAGGAGTTTGAAACCAGCCTGAGCAAGAGTGAGACCCTGTCTCTACTATAAATAGAAAGAAACTAATTGGCCAGCTAATATATATAGAAAAAAATGAGCCAGGCATGCCTGTAGTCCCAGCTACTCGGGAGGCGTAGGCAGAAGGATCACTTGAGCCCAGGAGATTGAGGTTGCCATGAGCTAGGCTGATGCCACGGCACTCAACAAAGCAAGACTCTGTCTCTAAAAAAATAAATAAATTTTAAAAAGAGAATTAAATTAAGTGAGTAATCTACGTGCTCTGCCAGAATGTTTGAGAGCAATGTGTTTTCGACTGGGTCCTTGTGACAAACAAGGTTGCTGCCTAGAGGCATAACAAAGGACCTGAGTTTTTGCACTAAGGCAAGAGCTGCCCAGCCCCGAGGCAGTGGGGGGATCTGGAGGCCACACGATAAACATATTGTTCCTGTGATTGCTGCTTTGCCCCCTGAGATGGCTGGTTAGTCAATGACGGGTAAGATTCCTCAGGGAGGAACGACCTAAGACAGACACAGCTACCGTGGGCCAGCCTAGAGGAACCGTGGCTGCCTTGCCCAACATTGCTAATCTTGGTCTGTGATCTATGCCTGGCACCTAGAGCAACCACCTAAAAACCTTGAGTCAGGGGACATCTGTGTCCTTTAAGGCTATGTCTTCCACAATGTATGGCCATTGCTGTAATGCCTAGGTGGTCACGTACAGGGAACTAACTTTAATTTTTCAGAGTATAAAAATAAACTGACCAGTGCATTGGGCACTCGAGTCATGTACTGTCTGTGTGTGTTCATGTCTTTCTTTTAAGTTCTGTGTTCATCCCCCGTCCTGTAAACGGGCCACAGCACAATATGTTTAGTGTTGCAAAATTTCCCTTCTGAGCCTTTAAACATTGTCAGTGATTCTCAATATGTTCTTTATATTACTTCTCAACTTCCCACTGTTTCTTTACCACTTAACCCCCAAACAACTTTACAATATTTGTTCTTTCA